CCCTCCTCGCTCCTTAACTACCTTGCTTTTTACAGGCTGGACCCCCCTAACCTGGTGTCCCCCAGGTGCACTGGACTATAATTCCCATTGTTCCCAGCCACCATAGCCATGGTGGCAGTTATGCCCAGCACATCTGGAGGGCACCCAGTTGGAGACAGTTGCCATGAGTGCCTTCTTCAGGGAGCTTTTATCTGTGATAAATGTGGCAGCAGAATAGGAGAGTTCTGGAGTGTTGTTGCTTCTGACTGAAGGTAAGGGACAGATTTTTTAATATTCCTGCCACATGTGACAAAAAAGTAATTCCTTATGTGTAGAAAATCAGCACACTGGGGAATAAGGTGAGGAAAGTTCTTTCTCTGAAGGGCTAATGTATTAAATAGACTTCTTTAACATGAGGAAGCATTGAGAAATATGGGATGGTCCTGAACTGTCATTCTGAATGATGCATAGGATGGCTGTCACCGAAAGGCAAACCTTTGGTGTTTTTATGGCATTCTTGTGCAAGGCATGCAAGTTTTCCGTTGCACAGTGTCTCTTTCCGTGTGTGTGATGGGGGAGGGGGAGTGAAAAATGAAAGGGTAGGACAATGGTCTGGCACACGTTGGAGGAAATGACTAAAGGTAGTGATGCAGTTTAGCTTGAAAAAGCGGCTGTGTGGATGTTTATGTGGAATATGTCCAATAGCAGATAAGGTCCTAGAAATCACCTCTTAAACCCAAACATACACATAAAAGCTGCAAAATGAGCAATAAATACAGTCTGAAGTCTTGTATGTTTTCTTCTTGCTTACAACTTAGCCTCTATGTAGCCACACTTTCTCTGGAGCATAAAAGAAGCTAATGCATAATAAAGGAATTACCTTCTCGGGAATTAGCTTTATTGGCCCTTAGTGACATCATCACATTGCTAAATGTCATCGGCTGTATGACTTCTCTGTTCCTGAAGAGACGACAGTTTGAAAAGTAGTACCAGTCTACTAGCTGCAGTCTTTCTCACTTTCTGTATTTATAAATTGTTGCAAAGAAGGTAACATCCAGCAGACAGTAACCAAAAACAAAGCAAGAAAGCATTCTGAGATGAGTCCAAAGCGAATGTTGTGTCAATAGTCTCTGCATGACTCCCCGGTCCTTCTTCATCAGTGTCTCTAATCCAGGTTCTAAAGGGTGTGGGATTTTCCTGTTATTCCATTCTGTTTTCCAGCTTCTGCAAACAAGGGTGTCATTTCCCCAAGTAAACATACAGAGAAAGTCAGCTTGATTTCCTTTTGACAGCTTCACTTCCTTTCCCTCTCTATTTACGAAATCTCAAAAATACTGAGTGTTGTAGCACCTTTTCTTCTGCATACTGTAGCATTTAGAAATTCCATGCAGTTGTCTCTCTCCTATGGCGATTGGTCTAATCATGTGTTGAAAGTATGCTTCCACTTTTGTTTAATGAGTACTTTGTTAATGAGTAAGTGTACAAAGGATTGTCGTCTTCGGATGGGAGTAGTACTTGACGTACAGCTGTGAAAGAGGCTGATAGGAAGTACAGAAGTTGCTGTTCCCACCTCCCCATCCGTACCTTCTCTTCGAATATCCTGTCACTTCCCAAGGTGTTGCGCACTTTGGCTGCGTTGTAGCTCTTCAAGAGCAGCACTTTAGGGGGCAAAGGGCAGAAGGGAGTATCAGTGCAGAAAACCGTTGCATCACCCCAGTCTGGATCTGCAGCACCTTCCAAACAAGACCCTTGAGCCAGCTTTTATTCTATAAAATAAATGTGACCCATTCAAGCATGCCTTTGAAAAACCGAGTACTAGAATGCGTACGTTTCATGGATGAACATCAGGCTTCTGTTCAGGGTCAGCCATGCTGGACAATAATGAGGAGTTATAACTTCACAAGGATTTGAAAATTAGGCAGGAGGGTTCTTCTCCAGGAAGAGCAGTGGTACCACACTAGTCTAACACACCTTTGGCCCCGCTGACTGGGGAAGTTGGCACTTGTAGGCTAACACATCTTGGGAAAGGCTGATGCAATACCTTGGCTTAGCCTCGTTTCTAAACAACTGCCTTTCAGGTCCCTGATTTCATTCAGCTTCATTATTTTGGACAAGGGTGTTTTATCAAAATCTCACAGAGTGGGAAACAGTCCCTGAAAGGGATTGTGCTTCTAGCTCCAGTGCTTTGGCACTGCAGGAGAAGGAAACATACGCTTCCTTTCAGAGCCAGTGCCAGGGCTGTTGGCACCAATCAGCCAGGCTGCATGCTGGCCGTGTCCATTGAACAATAGCTGCCTCTCCCAGATGGCCATGCTGCTTTGGAGGGGCAAAGAGCAGCGGGTCGGGACTAAGGAAGTGACACCAGCGCTGCAAAAGACATGCAGTGACTGGTTCTAAGGCTAGGGTGGCTAAAGGTTATTTTTATTTTGAAATGCCCAGCTAGGCTCATTCAGGAAAACAGACACTTTGAGTCCCTGTCATGTATTATTGATACTAATGATGTCCGTCTATTTTGAAAGCCCTCTGGCCACAAACAGGCCTGGACCGCAAAAAGGCCTCTGAATTGTTGTGGTTTAGCAGTTCCAAACTTAAGGCCAAGAACAGCTTGAAACCTAGAAGGAAGGCAAAGTTCCCTTATTGTTCTTTTTGATCTTATAAACTGTGGCAGACAGAATTTTTTTTCCTAACACAGAACCCCACTCAGGGCATTATTCTGATACAGGGTTTTTTTAAACTTTATTTTACAGAAAGGAATTCTGCCCCATCTAAAAAAAGAATCCTCTTGGTCATGCCATTAATAAAAACAGATTGTTAAACATGGAACATTTTGCCAGCACTGGAAAGATTGTGTCACTCCAGAGAAATCAGACACACTTTATATATATTAGGTTAGATTTTCTATGTCATTTATAAATTATTAACAGATGTTCTTAGCATGTAGAAAACATGGGCAAAGCATGTCACAGAGTTGTCAGCATGCCAATAGGAAAGAGGCACAGATTGTTACAAAACATGGCAGGGAGGAAATTTATCTACTTCTTTAGACTCTATAACTGCCTTTAAAACTGTCAGTAGCAATTGTCCATCATCCTTTTATCCACCTATTCATTTGTTATTCTGATATCTACCTTTCCTCTAAGGAACTCAGGCTGATACACATGGTTCCCTCCACCCAAAAAGAAGGATCTTCACAACAACCCTGTGAGGCTAAACCGAGAGATGGTGACTGGCACAAGGCCACTGGGGGTGGGGGGGGGCAGGCTATGGCCGATGATATTCGCAGCTGGAGCTCCCCAGGCCTGCTCTAATATGCTAGCTTTCTTTTGTTCATAGTTCACATTCATTGTATTGTCTTTTTTTCTTTTCCTTAGGTATACCGTATATTGTGTTTTAATCAGTTTGCAACGGTCTTTTAACTGTTTTTAATCTGCCCAGGGAGCATTTGTTGTTTGGGCAGATTAGAAATAAAAATGGATAAATGCAGGACCTTTTAAACAGCATTCAGAAATGTATCTTACTATTGGATTTTATACCCCCATCCCCAAGATGAAGAAATGGCACTCCAACATGAAACATATCTAAGGCAAGGGCTGATCTTTTGAGTGATGAGACAATGTGGGGCAGTGGCTTAGAAAAGAGCATGAGGAACAATGAACAAATCTGCCCAGCTGGAGAGAGCTGCCCTCTGATCCAGTAGAGGGGAGGTGCAGGAGAGATGGGAACAGCAGCTTGGCTGTCCCAGCCACCCCAACTGGTTCCTGCCAAATACTTTGGGCCACCACCCGATGATTTCTACCCAGCATGCCCTTTAGCAAAGCTGTCTGGGTACAATGGCAGTGCGGTCCAACACACCCAGAGAGAACCGTGGTGGGGAAAGCAGAACTACACGTGGGCCTTCCAGATAGCCTGAAGGGCCTGATCTTGCTTTATCATGGCTGCTAAGCAGGGTAGGGCCTGCCTAGAATCTGGATGGGAGACTTGATGGGCCTTCTCTTCCAGCTGCAGTATATGGTTCTATGCTTGCGTTGGGCCAGGTTTCTTCTGGGATGGCGCTAAAACTATGAAACCTTCCTTGTCTTCCCTTGGTCCTGCAGGATGATTCTGCAGCATTCGTAAAAGGACCAACAATGGGCACTTGCAGGTTAGAAACAGAAACAGAGCGAGTCAGAAGGGGCCTCCCGGGCCAACTAGTCTGACCTCCAGCACCAGCCGGCTCCGCTCACGACATGCCCACCATGTGCATGTCGTGAGGTTGGAAGTGGTCTCTTGCTCCTCAACTCCCTCTCAGTCTAATCTTCATCGAGGGTTGTTCTAATGAGAAAGACAGGCGTTTCCATGTAGGATACTTGGGTCTCCTGGGAGGAAAGATGGCACAGAGTGTGTGGTTGGTAAACAAATGCTGCTGCACAGGACTGGCTCGGGCCTAGGTCAAAACACAAGTCCAGTCACAAGCAGCCTGCTCCCCAAAGTGACCAGCTGTAAAACAGAAGCCACAGTGGGTGAATTCCAGAAGGGCTGCGTGCCCAGAGCAGCAGCACCCCTGCATTCGGACTGTGGAACAGCCGCCCCGGCCTCCCGTTCCAGCGGCAGGGCGCCACCTTCCTTCACGGGGCGAGGGGATTCTGCATGTGCTCAGAAGCACTCGTCGCGTCCCTGCTGCAGGCGGGAGGGGGCCTCGCCCCCAAGGGCGCCGTGCCCCTCGGGGCCAGGGCTGGCTGAGGCAGCATCTCGGAGGCAGGGCGCGGGCCCCTCCCCTGGGCCGCCTCTCCCGCGGACGGAGAGCGCTGCAGGCGGCGGCGGGCGGACGGGCGGGCGCTCCCCGCGGGCCACGAGCACGCTCCGCTCGCCTGGCGGCGCTGCTGGAAGGGGCAGGCGGCCGCCCTCTGCCCAGCCTCCGCTCGGCATTGCCCTGCGCTGCCGCGCGGCTTGACGGGCGTGCGAGGCAGCCAGTGCGCGGTGGGGAGGTCGGGCGGGCGCACGCGGGGCTGCCAAGATCGCAGGGGCGGGCGGCGGGCGGGGAGGGCCGCGCTCCCCTCCTCCATTCATTCCAGCCTGCTTCGCGGCACGGACCCCGGGGGCGGAGGGGCGCCCGCCTGCCTTGTGCGAGCGCGTCGGCGGCCGGCTCTCGCCCTCCCATTTCATCGCGATCAGGAGGGGGGCTGTCCAGCGGCGCTGCGCTCGGGACTTTGCCGAGAACTTTGGGGCAGCCCGAGTCGAGCGGGGCGATGGCCGACCCGGTGGTCAACGCGCACCTGGAAGGGATCATCTCCGACTTCGAAGGTGGGTAGATTGGGGCGGGAGGGGGAGGAGGAAGAGGGATCCCGTCGCGGACTCCCCCGCCTTCCCGCTGCCAGGGGGGCGCACCCGTTTTCCGCTCGTTCCCGTGTGTGTTGCCATCCCCTTCCAAGACCCCCCCCCATCCCCTTCCCTCCCCTCTGTCGCGGCCAGAGGCCGGCGAGAAAGACGCAGAGACTGCGGCTGCTGGCGGTGGGACTGGATCGCAGAGCGGATCCAGCGGGGTCTGGACCTTCTGTCTTGGGACTGCGAAAGGAAGCAGGAAAGGAAGAAGATAGGTCCCTTGACGCGGGTTGGGGGCGTTAAGGCGGGTGAGTTGCCTGGTTTTGTTTTGGCCAGGTGATGAATGAGGCGGAGGGGAGAGGAGGGGGCGGTTCTCAGTGCTGAAGCATCGCATTCTCGGTTAAAGACCCCTGAGATGAGGTGCATTGTTTTTTCCTTTACACTAGAGAAAGAAGCTTCTTCGACAGGAATGTCGAGAGGAGCTGGTTCTCTTGGGTGTCCTGGCATTACTTTCTTTTTTCGGACAGGACCTTCACGTTTGAGAAAATGGCGTTACTAAAGGGCACAGCAACCCTTTCTCAAAATCTGTTTGGATGCATGCCCATTAAACAGATCGGGAAACCGAGGCAGAGTCGATCAGAGTGTGTGATCAAAGTACTATTATCTTCTCCAACCTGTGTGTTGGACTACAACTTCAATCAGCCATGCTGGTTGGAGGTGGTGGGAATTACCATTCAACGCACTTGAAGGCGCATCCAGTATATATCGGACAACTGCATAGGCAAGACTGTCAACATGTAAATTAATGGTCATGTGAGAACTTGTGTGTGTGCATGCAGGCTGTCATCTGAGTTTGTGCCTTCTCTTTGTCTGCTTAAGAGACATTCTCTCCTATAGTGAAGAAAGAAGCGAAGTAGCAGCTGCATCAGCCGTGTGGAGTTTGTTGTGGCTCAGACAACTGTGAAGCTGAAAGGTCTCCTCCCTCGCCTTTCTGCCTCTCCTTCCCCCTTTGTTTTGTTTGGCAGCATTTTGATGCCCACCCATTCTGAAAAGTGACAGGCAAGTCAGCAAAAGTCTCAAGGCTGAGCAGTTCTCTGAAGAGGCTTTGCTATTTCAGTGGAGGAGAGGGTTTGACCAGGCCGGAAGCGGGGTGAGGAGGAGAGATCTGCTTCAGCATTTGGGGGTGCTGGCACTTGCAGCCAGTTGGGATGTCAGGCCAGAATTATGACTCTGACATAAGCCTAGTTTTCAGCTATGCTTTCTTAGGTCTAACCACACTGACAAGGCGTTGCTGTGAGCTCTGATAAGTGCAGGCATCATTGAAGTGGAAGGCACTGCAGAGCCCTCCCTCTCTACAGGAGAACCCAGGAAAGGATTAAGAGCAGCCTTAAACTTCAGCTCCTGTGTCCCAGAAATGTCCTCTTTTGTTTTCTGTCTGTGTGTCACCTTTGCATGGCAGTTTTCTATTCTGCCGATTTCACACGGCAGTGCTAAGCAAGAGACAGAGGAATATTTGTATGTTGCTTGGCCCCTGATGCTCCTCGGCTGATCTCTTTCTGTGGGATTTAGTGGCAGGCACACCTGGGGGACATCAGAGCAGTTCCACGCTCCTCCACACATGTGTCCAGGGTATGTTTGAGCTCTTTGATCTCCATGTGCTTTAAAATTAAGCAAGAGGATGTGTGCCACTTTTCTGCTGCACCAGGGTGCAGGGTTGAGCATCTTGAAAACCCCAGCAGCGTTCAAGGGCAGTTTCCTAGCCTTGGAATCTGAAAAGAGCTAGGTTTGGCAGTGCGATTCAGAAGCCGAAACCCGGAAAGGAAGAGGTGGCCACCACAGCTTCTCAGTGGTAAAACACCTGCTTTGCATGCAGACGGTTCCAGATTTGGTGCAGGGAAGCATCTCCCTCTCGAGGCCTAACTGCATTTGACTTTGAAAGGGTGCTCAGCACTGCCGCTTTTGTTTCAGAGGAAGAGCAGTCAACTGAGTGAGTAAACAGAAAGGAAGGGGTCCACACTGCTGCCTGGGGAAAGAACCTGAGCAGAGGCTTCTGCTCACTCACTCACTGGCTCCCTCTGGGCCGTGTGCAGCGCAGCTCATGGGAGCAACTGCCTCACCCTCACAAATCATTTTGTTTGTTCTGGCACAGAGCTCCTTGGCTCTGGCCATACGGTGCCTCTGGTGCAGAGGCATAGAGCCCCTTTCTGTGTGAGGACCAAATCTGATCCCTTGGGAAGCGTATCTGAATTCTCCCTCTGGACAGCGGAGCAGTGGGGACTCTGCATAGTGCTCCAGATGCGCCTGTTTTGCACCCAGGAAAAAGGAGCAGCACCACTGGGGGAGCAGCTGCCACCTACAGACAAGCCCTCTGTCTTTCCTTCTTTCAGAATCAGGCCCTGGGCAAGGGAAGGTCTGCTGCAGAATTTTGGAACAGAATTTATTCCTCTGCACTAATTCAGGCTTCCAAGTCACCCTGAAAGGCAGCTCCACCAATAATCATTGCAGCAATCCAACTAGGAGAGACATGGATCACCGTGAGCAAACTATCCTTGTCCGGGAATAGCTCTAGCTGATAAAAACCCAGTTCTGGGCTAGAAAGACAAATATCCCAGCCTGCTCTAAGGCAGCTCCCTCTGCTCCTTGGTTGAATGCCCTCCGTGCCTCTTTCCCATCTCTGCATAGGCAGCACAAGTGAATCAGGGTGAATCAATCCCTCCTGCTCCATGAAAGTAAGAAGAAATTCAGTGAAAGGGCACAGAGATCACTGGCACCTCGTAGCTGCCTCCCCCATTGCTCTCAAGGCCCTTAGGCTGGAACGCTCCTTGTAACTGGTTCTGCAGGCAACCTGTATATGGCAAGGTATCATAATCTGCCCTGCCTGAGAAGTCAGGAGATAGGTGAGATCCAGCAGCCCCATAGTGGTTAATGTTTGCAAACCATGCTTTTATTTCCCTGGCATAGAAATGCGAGGATTTCTGTTTGCTTGGGCTCTGACCATAAGGAGCTTCCAATGCAGGGATGCAGAACTTCCTTCAGTCAAAGGACCAAATCAATTCAATTTTGGTGATGTTCTCAGGGGCCACATTCCAGTGGAGGGTGAAGCCAAATGCAAAAGTGTCAGGGTCAGAAGACCCAGGATCCCAATAACTACTGCTATTTTTTAGAGTAAAGCTCCTACCTTCATTTCAGGCTTTCAGAATTGGGGGGGAAACAGCATAAAAGCCAACACCCCCCCACCCCAAGAAAGGATTGCTGTTTGAGGGGGAGGATCAGGGCAGGCCTGCGGCTCTGCACCCCTGCTGTACCTGCTGAACTGTCTCCTTCCTTGTTGGTGAACTCGCTGAACATGACAAGCCCTGTCACGAAGCAGAAGCATGTGAAAAAGGAGATGAGCAGCAAGTGCTTCTTGGGAAACATCTAGTCCTGCCAAGAAGGCAGGGGCAGATAGAGATAATTTATCCAGCAGCACTTTGCTGTCGAAGCAAAGATGAAGCTACGTTACAGCCTTTCTCAACCCAAGCCTCCCTAGATGAGTTGGACTGTAACTCCGAGCCAGCATGGTGACTGGAATGATGGGAGTAGTAGTCCAACACATCTACAGGGCACCGGGCCACAGATAATTGCCCACATACCTTCTGTGCTATAAAGTGTGGTCCTTGTTCCATTCTCAGAGGAGCGGGAGGCCCTTTTATTCCATGTGCACAGTGAGGGAGCACTGAGGCTTGGAAGCAGCTGCAGCTCCATGGGGTCACGCCTATGGGCCACAAGTGGTAGAGCTCTTGCACAAAACTTCAGTGGGGAGGTGTGAGCGGGATTTGACCTTTGTCTTGGGAGCCCAGGAGATCTGCTGCTTCTTTTGTTAAAATTGCCTGGGGTCATCAAGGGAAGCTGGAAAAACTGAGGTGTCTGACTCTGGCTGGCCGCCACCTCACATCCCCTTGGTGGCTCTGCAAGACAGAGTGAATTATTTTCCATGAGCGGAGTCCTTTGTAGATAAAATCAGAGCAGGATTGTTGTTACTTTCATAGCTCTCTTCGGCAGGGAGGACCCACTTAACATATATTCTGAATCTGAATTCTGAAGCCAAGTCATGCATCACCCTGATACAAATCACTGCCAAATGCGGGTGCCAGTTTTGTGATTAGTGGGCAGTTTACAGGCACTCATCTCCAGAAACCTAAAAAAAAAAAAACCACCACTGTAAGCCACAGTACATCTCTTTAAAACATTTTCTAGACCCTGCACTGACTTGGCCAAATAACAGTCTGTCCAAAGAACAGCTCTTAGGTGTGATGTCCTTAAGACAGCAGAATGGAAGGTAGCTGTGGAATCTTTGGGGAGGGATTTCTGTATTTATTCCCTGCTTCTCATCAGGTTTTGCTGCATCTCTTTTTGAACGGGACACTGTTCGCCCAAGAAGGCCCCAGCCCCGGAGTCCTGCTTCAGGTGGTGCCAGGGCAGAGAAGCTAGCACCTTGCAAGGGTTAATACTGCTAGAAAAGCCTCAAGACAGTCCAGGGTCCTACCGCACAGGATTCTACGGTGGCAGGAAATGCAGCTGTCGAAATGCACTCCTTGTCACCTGAAGATCCACGATCAAGCAGCACTGCTAGGCCAGGCTCCTGCTCCTTCTCAGTGCTGCTCTCTGTCTGTGATGTGCTGGGAGAGGGTGGCTAGGCATGTCAGTGGGCCAGATGAGGCCAGGCCAGGCACAAGCAACTTTGCCTGGCCTGGTCTGGCCCCAGCCCCAGAAGTTAGAAGTGTCAGGAGAAATGGCTGTGGGTAGGGGGCAGGGAGGGGACTGTCCTGCTGGCTTCCCTTTTCCTGCATCCATCCCTGAAGTGATGGACTTAGATGGACCTTTGGTCTGATCTGGCATGGCTTTCCTTATGTTCTTATCAGTACATCTACCTACCCTTTTCCTGGCACTTTGCCATGACATTTTGAAACTTTTTATGAGCACAGCAGAGCCTGGAAAATTGG